GAGTAAAAAACTCAAATCCAACTATAAATTCATGTCTGAGTACTTCATATGGTACAAGTGTCAGGTAATGACTATTAATACGAGCCACGGTGACTGAATTCCGACGGCCTGTCTATCAGTTAAAAGAGAAAAGAACAGTACAACTTACGTCGCTTGTACAGTTCTTCGAATTTCGACGTCGTGCGATTATTGTAAACACAAATTCCTTTCACTATGTTGTTTATCGGTCGGTAAAACGGTATACCTTAAAGTACAGCTGCTTGGGATGTAGCTCGGCGGGAATGTTTACAAACATTGTGCGCTCGTGATCGGTCCTAAATTGTGAGCACGGATTACGGGGAATGTCAAGTGTCGGTGCATTGCCGCGTATAACGGATATTACGGTACTCCTGGTCATTACATGTGGTAACGAGTACGCGCTGTCTATAGGCCGAAATAATGCAAGCGCACTAACTTCAGCGCGCGCTAATAAACCACACGTACTGATGTGCTCATACCAATTTACAAGCCGTTAACCTACTCTATATTATCAGAACGGCAATAGAGCCAAGATATCACACACACACACACACACACACACACACACACACACACACACATACATACACACATACACAGTAAGTGTGCGATCCGCGGTGAGTCAATTAAACATAAACTAGCTAAATCAGCAGTTTATCAGCATTGACGAGCGGTCGCGATGAGCGCACAGTTGATTAACATACCGAAACGAGGAGCAGCAGGCTTTGTACTCAACCGACGGCACCGACACCGTCCATCGTGCGTCTCACAAGTGATAATATCCCGCGAGCAATTTCTCGAGGCAACGACACGTCTCGCGCGCGTTACGTGATATCCAAAATAGAATCGCGACACACGAAGCACGGGAGGCCGGTTACGTCTCGCAAGTGGTTCGTCCCGGGTCAGTTGTCGACGCTTCGACGTACCTCCTTACATGAGTGCACGGACGCGCGCACGTGGTTGTTGAGACGCGCAAAAGCGCGTCCTCGTTCATTAAGGAATCCGTCGTGATGCAAACGCGATCCATCGCGGGAATCTCGAGAGGCTTTATATGGGGGCAGGCAGGCAAGTAGGCGGCGGCGACGATCGCGGTCTGAATGGCATGAGCGGTCGCGCGGCGCGAGTAGCCCCTTACCTTCTCCGCGTCTTGCCTGCAACGTTGTTGTTGTTATTGTCGCAGGTGCATTGCCCCCTGCCTAGTTCAGCCGTACCGACGCCGGTCTTTCCCCGCGGTGCTGAGCGTGCGAGCCTTTCGCTGCCGCACGCTCGAGCGACATTTCGCGCGTGAGTACGCGCCCCTAAGGAGCGCGAGCGCGAGCACGTGACTCGACCGCGTGCTCCGGGCATTGCCGCCCCACCACGGCAGAAGTTGGGTCGTCGAGGCGACCCCTGTTTCCGGACCACACGCTGCTCTAGGGTGGCGTTTAGAAATCACACTCGAGGGCACTTGAATAATGATTATACATACATTGGACACCTTTAAACTTTTCTTTTATATTTCCGTATAGTCCTCTGCATCATTATTATCTGCCATCGCTTGCAGTTCTTTTAAAATATCATTATTAATACAGTAACAATACTTTGAAATATAAAAATTGAGATATTTAATACTTGAAATAAAATGTATTTATACAAACAGGTACATATAAATTGAATCACATAATCTCTAATATGAAATATGTCTTACAAATAACTACATTATATTTACTAATGTTTAAGAATAAGTATTTGACTAATTACTTCATCACAAGAAATTACACAGAAATCTCCTAAATGCCGTTCAGAAATCAATCGAAATCATTAGAAGACCATCTAGGTGGCCCGATCAGAAACGTTTTGACGAAGTGACTTTAGTACCCTGCTATTTCGCAGGGTGTGAAAGTCTCCCAAGCATGACTACGAAAGCCGAAAGCAAGACAAGACAGAAAGACACGTCGAAGAAGGAACAATCATCGAAGAGCAAAACAAAGTCAAAAGAACTGAAGCTTGAAGTCGAGTGTAATAATAAGAATCGGGAGAAGCTGGAAAACGGTGTTAAAGAGATGCTCAAAAATAGTCCTCTCGAATCCACCAAATCGTTGGTTGATGCTGAAGTGAAAAATCCTAAGCCAAAAGTGCTCGACAGCGCAAAAGTTGTTGAGGTAAACGACAACGTGCCTTTGTTCCCAAAGCGCGGAAATACAAATTAAAAATGGCTACATATAAAAGTATAGTTCGAGAATTAAACGAGGAGAATATAATATTCTGGGATTCTGATGGTAAGTAAATAAAACATTAAATATTGATTATAATTTATAATAAATATGATAAATAATCGTACATACGTATATTATAGTATGTAGGTAAAATGTAACACGTATGCATATAAAATTTTATATATAGCATTTCTGTGAGAGATTTCTGTGTAATTTCTTGTGATGAAGTAATTAGTCAAATATTTATTCCTAAACATTAGTAAATATAATGTAGTTGATTATTTGTAAAACATATTTCATATTAGAGATTATGTGATTCAATTTATATGTACCTGTTTATATAAATATATTTTATTTCACAAGTATTAAATATCTCAATTTTTATAGCTCAAAGTATTGTTACTATACCTATCAATAATGATATTTTAAAAGAACTGCAAGCGATGGCAGATAATAATGATGCAGAGAACTATATGGAAATAAAAGAAAAATTTAAAGATGTCCAATGTATGCCATAATTAATAAAAACAGGTCTTTAATAACAATGACATGTTTCTTTATGTCCGTTTTTATTAATTTCCTTTTTTATTATTATTTCAGCTGCATCTTGGAAAGGTGAATACGTTGTGAAAACATTAATTAATTTATGGAACGAATCATTATTCAAGAATTCAAAAATATGCAATGAGATGTAGTGTGGCGTCAGATATGACTGAAGAATTACAGAATAAATTCCTAAATGAGTTTATGCAGGCACCCAATGTGAAAATAAATTCAAAGACGTTTGAAAGAATTATGTTAAGGTGAAGGGTCATAATGACAATTCGACAGATGGAGAGCGAAAAATTTACAAATTTTATGAAAATATAGAGGAAGTTTTGGAAAATAAGCCATATATAAAATCTATTGCCGTTGCCAACACTTTGCATAAGCGACTTTTTTCTAGTCTACTGTCTGATTCAAATGCACTTACATCAACATCTGATGAAGATGAAATAAAAGAAGCTGTTGCAACACTTCGTAGAAAAGGCCGATTTAAAAAAATGTTGAGCAATGGACCGTGACATTAAGAGAAGATTCTCAGAATAGAGAAAAAGCAAGAAAAAAGAGACACAAAGAAAAACTTGAGAAGCAGGAACAGGCCATAGCTGTTTATAAAGACGTGATGTCCAAGCTGACAGAAAAATTGTAATAGTATAAAGTATTCAAAGTTTTTAGTCAACCAGTCTCTCCATGTTTTATTTTTAATTATTCTATTCTCTAATATTTAAAATATCAAAATAAAATTTGATTAAAGCTTCTTTTTGTTAATTGTAACTTTAAGTTTAAGTTTATTATAACTTTAAGTTTATTATAATAATTAATACTTAATTAAGTTTATTACAACTTTAATTTTAATTGACTAGTATAATAACAAATTTCAGCAGCAGTTATTGTTTGTTAATGTGAAATATAGTAATAATAATATAATTGTTAACAATAATAATATGTTATACAGTGTTTGGATATATGATAAGTATATGCTTGTGAAATTGTTAATTGAAAATACATGTAAAATTATGTATTAGAGATAGGTAGTTAATATTACTAACGCAATATGTGACACTTGTTAATTACTATGCCATACTATTGTTAACCAAAGATTTGTTTTATTTTTCTATAAAGTTTGTAGACATAGTGCAATCAATAAGCATATATCAATAATCAATAAGCATATCCTTATTACAATCAATAAGAGTTTGTAATATCTTTATTTTGTATTTTCTGCTATCAAAAAATTATTTTGATATTTAATTTTAAAATAAATAGTTTCTATAATAATAATTTTAATTCTTAATTTTCTTCGTCTTGTACTTAAAACTTTCGTTTAAATAAAGGGCAAATATTTTATACAAAAAATTGCAGTTATTTTATACCTGATAATGATATTTAAATGTAATTAAAACTAAGACAAAGATATATCTAAAAAAAATTATATAATTTTATACAAAATATTATTTATTTAATGATTTAACTCATTATATATATTACATTATTACACACACACACACACACACACACACACACACACACACACACACACACACACACACACACACAAAC